GTCTGGAACACTTAGATATGATGTATGTTAAGTGTTTAGGTGATTAGAACTTGAAACACACGAGTAAATTTTTAGATTGCTGTGCTTGATGCAAAACCGCAAGTTATGGAAGGTTTTTGGTGATAGAGAGTTTGGGAGAGTTTCTCAGCTTTTTCAATCGTGTGTTAGATTGTAATATGTTTGTGTATAAGTATAGAAAAGGTTTCAAATCAATTCCACACCAGGTTTGAGTTATAGACTTTTTGCTTTATTGCTTGCCTTTTAAGAAAAGTGAGGAGACAACTCTTTACATGCTTGTACAAGCCTGATCTGAGTTGGTAAAAGTATTAGGAACTTTGCTTTTGGTTTATAGGACTTGTGTGTGCAGAGAGAACAGGTTCAAAGCTCAAGGAGTTGACAAATGCAAAAGTTGTGCTTTTCTAAAATGGAAATGGCAACTTTGTGCCATTTATGGAAATAAAGCTTGGACAAAGGCTCTCATGCTTGGATTAAAGCTTTATCAACTGTGTAAGCATTAAATTATTGAGTGAGAAACAAGTTTCAGACGTGTAAAGCAAGGGTTATGCAGCCTAGGTTTAGATTTGAATTTTGTACTTCATGAGATGGCTTGAAATTAAAGTGAGAAATTGCCAACTTCTTCTCTTCGATTCTGCCTACTCAAGAATGATCTCAAGGAGTTCTTAGAAATTTTGGAAAGCTTGCAATATGATCCATAACTCATCTTTGAATTGCTTTCCAATATTCCTCTTGGAACTAGGTGAAAAGTTGCCATGAAGTTAGGTAAAAAACATGCCTAAATTAGGGCAAAATTTCACTAAGTTATTTAATTCATGAGCATGTATTCACAAAATTATATCTTGAGATCCAAGCATCTTTAGGAGAAAATGTGTGAAGCAAAGTTTTATATTTCATGGAGATCTACAACTTTCATGTTGGGAACTTTCTTTGAATCATCTTGTATCATGGTGAGAATTTGGCTAAAAGTTGAGAAAAAATAAGAAATTTTCTATACTTAGAAAAATTTCTAAGTTAAGAAAATTTCAAATTTCAAAACAAAATCTTCAATCTTTGATTTCTTGATGAACAAGTTTCACATTTTGACATATTTTTATGAATTGTGATCCTTGGAATTTGATTTTGACCAAAAAGTCAAAGTTTGACTTTTCAGCATACAGTTGACTTTTGATCAGTTGACTGCAAAATTTATCTGTCAATCCAATGGACTTGCAATATTTTGAACCATGTCATTAGTTCAAGATGATGCAATTTAACTCTTGAAATCATGCTTCAAACCAATTGATCATTTTCTAGGTCAAAAATCAGAAATTGCCTTTTCTCAATCAAAACCCTAATTTTGACCATTTTACCCTTTTGATGATTTGATCAAATTTCTTGAGGAATTATGATCCAAACTTGATAAAATGATACATATGAGTCTAAAATGTTTATGTGGATCGAAAATTATGAAGTTTGACTGTAAATTGGCCATGGTTGACTTTTTCCCCAATACAGTTGATTTTTAGGTCAACTGTCCAATTGACTGACCAAAAATGTGATTCAAGGCTTGAAACTTGACATGAGTAAACTTAGGGGTCCATAATGATACTTGAAAGTCATATGAAGCATTTATAGTCCAAAAATCCTTGTGCAATCCCAAACCCTAATTTTGGGTTATCAGTGCTTGATGAGATGTCTTGAGCTGGTCAAACCCTAATCTAGTCTTGAGTCAAAGGGATCTTGTAAGAAAAATCTTGATAAATGAGAGGGAAAATTTTGGGGTACAACAATATGAGACAATTACTGGACTGGAATTATAAATGATGCAAAAAGTGAAGGGTGAGAAAACACTTAGAGGGGGGGGGGATTGAATAAGTTTCTCTTTTTCTTTTCTTAAAGGCTCAACAATAATGGAAAGACAAGGTTATTTTTATCCTGGTTTGTTTGAACTCAAACTACTCTAGTCCACCCGTCAAGGTGATTTCTCCTTTCTCAACAAGGACTTAATTCACTATAATCAACTGATTACAAACACACAACAACTGTTGTGACTAACAATGCACAAGTAATCTTACAAGTGACTAACACCACTAAGACTTAAACTAGTCCTAGTCTACTTGAGAAATATGACCAAACTTAGTCTCTCAAGGAAAAATTACAAGAGTTTAATCTTTACAGATAGTGAAATAAAGTTTGCTTCTAATAAAGCTATATCACAACTGTGATTTTTCACTAAAAATAATATTGCACAAAGTGTATGAATAATGAATTTGTGAGCCCAGAATTTTTCACGTAGTTCTTGTTTCTTTTGAAATTGATTAGTTGTTGGCTTGCAATAAATGTCCTTCTATATATAGTAAGAAAAAAATGACCATTTCTGCCTTCAAAAGTGGAGAGTATTAAATGCTTGCGTGTTTCCTTGCACTATTCCATTTTCCAATGAACTAGCGTAGACACTTGAGTGCATGCAGCCGTCTTTGCATTAAATGAGCAAACAACACTTGTAAGAACATGTTTCCTGAAGCTTGACAAGACTTGTTAGCTTTTACATTCTTTCAGAACTTGCTTCACGTCTTGAATTCAGAACATGCTTGCATATCTTCTAAACAAGGCTTTGCTTGCTAAGTACTTTTGATCAGCGCTTGCTTTCAAATAAACTTCTAAACAAGGAATCCTGCTAAGCGTTAGAAGATGCATTTAAATAATTATCTTACCAGAGTCAGCATCAGCAGTTGCGCTAAAACAAATAGTTCTTTCAACAAAGAACTTCTTCATTTATTTTCAGCTCGGCACATCAAAATGCTTCTGTCAGAACATTATCTAAAACAATTAAATACATTCATCAGAGTATCAATTATATAAAATATAATTTATTGTTATCATCAAAACTATGAGATATGATCAGAACTAATCTTTGTTCTAACAAAAAGTACCTCTGGTTATGTTTTCTCATTTGGTAGTGTTGTGTTCTCATGGAATTCAAAGAAATAAGAAATTATCGCTCAATCATCAGCTGAAGCAGAGTATATTTTTGTTGTTATTGTCATATGGGTGGATAACAAATCTGCTATAACCATAGCTAAGAGTTCAGTCCAACGTGGAAGAGCCAAACACATCAAGGTTAAATATCATGCTACATAAGAAGCTGAAAAGTAAAATAAATCAGTTTGGAGCATTGTAATTCAGAAAATCAGATTTCAGGTATAATGACAACTGCTCTTTCCAAGGGAAAGTTTGAAGAATTGAGATCAATGCTTGGAGTATTCAAGAAAAATCTATAGGAGGAGTGTTAGAAATTGATATTTTTCTAACACATCAATTATTTTACTTGGTGTTACTTTGCTTGTTGTTGTTACTTTACTTTACTTATTGTGTCACTTTACTTGTTGTGTCACTTTACTTGTTATTGTTACTATAATGATTATGTTATTGCTTGTAAAAGTATGCAATAACTAATGATGCATACTATTTAGAATATTGTTGCTTTGGATTTTATTTCCATTCCAACAAACAAGCTTATTGCTTGACTCTATATATTTTGTATTATTTTTTAGCTTAATGCAATTCAATGACACAACCATTTTCTATAAAAAAAAACTATCTTTATTATTTTGTGGTTTTTATTCATCTTTTCTACACCACTTTACCATACCTTCTATTTTTCTTACAGTTCCAAACCAACGATCTTATACTATGAGAATCAAAGTGCATTACATAACTGCTAAACCCGTCTTCCATGAAAGGACCAAGAATCTTGAGATAAATTACCACATTGTTAGATAAAAGTTTCAAGAAAAATTTATGAAGTTGATCTCTATTTCATCACATAACCAGACAACAGACTTCTTCACCAAGTCATTATTGCCTAAACCTCTCAATTTTAGGAATTTAAAATCAAAGATCTTGAAATTCTTAAATAATTCTTAGGCTTGGAGATAACACACTCTAAGCAAGGAATCTATTGGTGCCAAAGAAAGTACTATATTGATCTATTAGGAGACTCATATTTACTTCTCCCAAAACCTATATTACCCATTAATCAAACTTTTCCATGACAATAGTGCTCCATTTGAAGGCATACCATTATAAAGAAAATTTATTGGCAAAATTTATATACCCAAACACCACTAGACCAGGTATCACATTTGTCCTTCACCAACTTAGCCAATTCTTATCCAATCCATTAGTTGTCAATTACAGTGTTGCTTCCAGAGTTTTGAAATACTTGAACCATTGTTCTAGTCGAGGGTATTCTTACCTAGATGCTCAACCATACATACATTTACAAGGCTTTTTCGATACTGCTTAGGCAAGGTGTATTGGTACTAGAAGATACGTGTTAGGTTCTAGTTTCTTCACTGGTTCTTCTCTCAGCTCACGGAGAACTAAAAAGAAAAGTATTATGTTAAGACCATCCTCTAAAGTAGAGTATAGAGCTTTAGCTGATGCAACCTATGAGCTCTAATGGATCTTATACTTGTAGGGTGAGTTACAAGTCAAATGCTCCAAACCAACGATCTTATACTGTGAGAGTCAAAGTGCATTACATAGCTGCTAAACGAGTCTTCCATAAAAGGACCAAGAATATTGAGACTAATTACCATATTGTTAGATAAAAGTTTCAAGAAAAGGTTATGAAATTGATCACTATTACATCACATAATCAGACAATAAACTTCTTCACCAAGTCATTGTTGCCTAAACCTTTCAATTTTCTTTTGTCAAAGTTTAATTTGATCAACACCTATAAAAGTTCATCTTGTGGAAGGATTTTACCAAATGAAGAAAAGTTAGTTATAGTTAGTCTTGCAGTTAGTTTATGCTTTGGGTTAGTTAGAACATTGGTTGTTTGTGATGTAAGCAAATAGTGTAGTATACTAGATATGATATGCGTGTATATATAAAGCCTATATTCTTTGATCAATACAACAATTTGATCTCCGACAAAATACAATAAGCATATTTTTTATTGAAGAAAAGAAATATATTTAAGGAATGTAACACTAAAATTGATATTCGCAATAGTCAAAGCCACGAGGTACACCTTCAGGAATGAAATAATTGTAGTTAAATATGGCAGGTGGGAAGTTATGGTGATATGCAATGATAGTCTCTGGCACCCAACCATCGGATCCAGCTCTAGCTACGTACAATTTGCATATTTTTCCAATACATTGTCCCAATATCTTATATGTATGCATCTTGCACCTCTCAAATACCTCAGTCTCTGAATCTACTTTTAACACTGTAATCTACACATATATCAAACCAATACATCCCATAATTTAGTTCAAAGAAAAAAACATAGACACTATTTTCACTAGTCACATCACCAACTGAAATGTATTTTAATTTTGACCCTTCATAAAACATGAACGCTATTCTTATACCAACATCTTTCGCTACATCTTTTACTGTTCATTAATATTGTGAATAGTGAAATATTATAATAATAATATTTTTAATAAATAAATATAATTTTATTTTTTAATCTTTTTTTAGATTAAAGGAGTACAGATACAAAATAATGTGATTAATCAATTTTATAACTTTATTAATCAATATTTTAAATTTCATTAATCAACTTCATAACTATTAAAAATCTGGATGTTTATTAACCAACCTCATAATTTTATTAACTAATATTTTACATTGTATTAACCAATTTTGTTTTACTGCTAAAAATTATTTTTGATATCTGAACGTTTATTAACCAACTTCATCACTTCATTAACCAATTTTTTACATTTCATTAACCAACTTTATTTTACTACTAAAAATTATTTTTAATATTTAGGTTAGGGGTGGCAAAACAAACCGCCGGTCCCGCCCCACCCACTCCGCCTTAAACTTGCTAGAAAAAGAGCGGGGCAGACAAGCCCTCCAAATAAAAATGAGCATAAAAATCCAGCTCGCCCTGTCAAGGTGGCGGGTTGGCGAGCTTGTCCGCTTACTTTTTTATTTTATTTTTTTTCATTTTTGAATATATTAAAAGATTTTTTTTACATTTCAATTAGATTTTTCACTTATTTTTTAGACCAATTTTTTAGAAAGCATCTTTTTAACAAAATTTACTTAAAAAAATATTGCATATATTCACAGATAAATATATAAAATAAAACCATCAAGAATGTGACATACTAGAATTAACTAAAAAAAATGACAGGTTTAAGGTGGGAAAAGCTTAACGAATAGGCACGACGGATTTTGGCGGGCGACAGGTTTTGGCAGGGCGGACTTTGACGGGCGGCGGCTCCAAAATCCCATCCCAATCGGCCATATTTTGACAAGTGCGCGGGTCAGCCCGACGAACCACAATCAATTTTGCCACTCCTAACCTGAACGTTAATTAACTAATTTCATCGCTTTATTAATCAACTTTTTACATTTCATTGACCAACTTTGTTTTACCATTAAAAGTATTATTCTCAAAAATTGTTCACTAACACTATTCACATTACTGTTCATAAATATTTTTTTTATTATAAAAAGAATTTATTCACTATATAAATACAATAAAAAATATTTAATGTAAGTATTTGATATACGAATTAGTAAATTGGGTGTAAAAATAACACACCTCTTAAATAAAATGATACTTTTCTAGTTAAAATTGAAAATAAATAAATTATATATCTTGAAAGAAAGAAAAAACCTCTTTTCCCTCAATGTCTCCAAATAAAATTCCGATTGTATCTTTTGAATATGCTGGAGAATTACAACTTGTCTTTATGGTGAGCGTGTAAGAGCACATTTCCATTCGTCTAGTCTCATTAATCTGAAACATGCATATACAATACAGATAACATTTAATATAAAATACAATAAATTATGAAATTATTTAAGATACACACATACTCCACATGTTTAAGACTAGAGACTATATTTTTTTGGTTAAAAAAAGAAAAGAAAAATGATATAATATGCTTCTGTGAATGATTTTTTAAATAATTTTTTGCTGAGAATATAACTTTTTTTAGTTCTTGTTAAGTACGATTAATCGGAGAATATTGATTTACTTGATATTGAAGTTGAGTGACCAATGTAGGTGTTGCATGTGATAATGTAACAATAATGAAGAATTTAAGGATTAAGGTAAAAAATCTCATGGTTTAGTTGATTATTATTTGTAATCCTGCTTTAAGAGAAGAGAAAAGAGAAAAACATAAATTTTTTAGATATTTCAAACTTATATTAATTATAATATTATGAAGGATAACTACACCATGAAATTCTATATAACATTATTATAATTTGATGAATTCTTAGCATATTATACTAAATTATGTGGGCTGGAGTTTTCTGAAAACATAATAGATTCATTCCTATTAAAAAAAAATTATTGGCTTTATGGAAGAACCAAAGGTTGTGAAAGGAGTGTAATTTACTAGTTAATCAGCGATTATATTCACTTATTTTTCCATTAAACTAGATCTTACGTCCAATCATTTTAACCCGTTTATATTAATGTTTTTAGTTATATATTCACTCGAAAAGTTCAAATTGAATAAATTAGAGTGTGTATATGTGCAATACACATTTAATTAAGTTGATAGTCATATTTTCATTTAATAATGTATAAATGATAATTCAAATAAATAAATTTTAAGAACAAAATATATATAAAAAGTGGTGTAATATTGAAACAGAAACACTCAGGCTTGCTTCTGCAAAATCAATATGTACTATATTGAATATCAAAACATGGCTTAAATAGCTACAAAACGAAAATTGAAAGAGAAAAACTAACTAGAGAAAAAAAATTGGAATTGAAAGCAGAAAAAAAACTGAAACCATCTCCTACTAATCTAATAAGAAAATGTTAAATTGTAATTTCTGTATATTGAAATTATGTGTTGAATGATTCGAGGTTGTCGAAGTAAGTTGTTCGATGAAAATTATTGTTTAATTGAAGAATTTGTGGATCGAAGTAGGCTACACACAAATTTAATTTGGTTTTAGATTTGATTTAGATCTAAAATAGATAGATTTGATTTAATTTCAATATAGGTATTTTGGACTTTCATAGTTTTTCGCTTTGACTTAGAGAGCAAGCTAACCTAAATCTAAATAGAATGAGTAATCTCTATTTTTGTAATTAAGTCAATTAAGTTGTATTCACAGAATTTACAGTTGCAAGTGAATAAAGTTTTCCACAAATTGTGGGCAGAGAGAAACTCTGCAGAAAATAGTTGTCTTCTTATTCTTTCTTTCTTTCATATAATTTATTGTTATTGTGTGGTGATAACAATCTTGTTCTTCGAGATTGATAGAAATTCATTAAAGGTTTTGGTATATTTCCATTATCTGGTATCAAGAGTTCAGGTTGAGTGATTCAAGGGAAGAACAATCAAGAACAATCGAAGAAGAAGAAGAAGAAGATCGCAATGGCGATGAATTACGCTGATGAGTGCTAAATTGTTGTGAATTTGAGTGTTAATAATTAGCACTCATCGACTTAATTCGTTTGCTTTTTGTCTATAAACCTCAACTTTAGTGTATATTCGGTATAGTTTACGTTATAATATATTTATTGCGTTATTGTGTAAATATCATTGAGTTTAATTGATTTTATCTCATTTTTGTAGGTATTCAAGTTTTGATATTTAGGCATTGTTAGAAAGAGCATTGAATAAGTTTTCCAACGCTTTGAATCGGGCGCGAATCAGAGTCGTGATTCAAAAGTTATGGCCGAAATAGTGCATAATGTTGTGCTTGTTTTTTCAACTTTCTGTCATCCGTCGCCGAGCGATGCTTTTTGATCGCCGGGCGATGCTAGGCGAGCTGAAGCATGGGAAAAATGCAGTTTTAGTCATCGGGCGACGCTTTTTGGTCACCAGGCGATGCTGGACAGTCAGAAATGCGTATTTAGGTGTAAAAACATATTTTTTGGGTATGTTTGACCTTAACTCCACCATCCTTCATTTTTTGATAGTTAGAGCTTAGAAAACAACATTGAACCTTGCATACGGATGATTCGGGGTAGATTTCTCATCAATTGGCACTGATAAACTGGTAGATTTGTGGTTCATTTCTCTTCCTCTTTGTGTATTCTTTATGTGTTGAGTTTGTATATGTATTTACTTTGAACTCATGTATATTTGTCATCCATGGTGTTGTATTAAACTTGTTTTACAATTCTTTATCGATTATTATCTTAGATTTTTGCTCTGTGTTAGGGATTTGAGTTATTATAGACATATACTACTTAGGTTCTTATCTAGGATGATCATCTGTTAGTTTCTGAACTCTAGAGATAGATTTAGAGTTGACATCTACTTGGTTATCAGAGCTTAATGCCTCTGTGTGGTTGTGTTGTGCTGAGAGATCATCAGTGTGATTACATAGTTGTCTTCTGTGTTTTTGAGGAGGTAGAGAGATCATTTCCTTGGTGATACAATCGGTCTCTCAATTTGGGTTAGAAATGACTTAGGTTGTAAGTGATGCGTGGTAACATTGATGAGTATTGTTAGGTTGAATGTAACTGGTCTATAGATTTAAGTCTGAGATGAGTGGAATATATGCAGACTTGATAAGTTATTCCTTAGTTTTTACTTTTCTTTACATTTATTTTCTGTTGATAACATTTTCTTTACAAACCCATTTATCCCTAAACTCATTAACGAGAGATTTGTCGAACAGAAATTCAATAACCAATCTCTGTGGACACGATAAATTTTTGGATAAATATTTTCAAAACTTTTGTTGCTTGTCACTATAACGCTCCAACATATGCTAACGAAAATTTTCCAGCAAGTCTCCCAATTCTTAAAGGTGATAACTATGAGAATTGGTGCAAACAGTTAAAGATTATATTCTATTTTCAAGGTCTTTGGGATCTTGTGAAGACGCCAGATAAAGGTGATAACTAGTAGAACTATTTAATGAAGACGCTTCAGAAGAAGAAGAAGAAGAAGAAGAATAAAGAGAATCGAAGAAGAATAATTATAAAGCTCTCTTTATAATTCACCAATCTGTCAGCCCAGACAATTTCGAAAAGGTTAGAGATGTAGAATCTGCAAAAGAAGATTGGGAAATCCTAAAGAAATCGTTTGGAGGCGCTGAGAAGTTAAAAGAGGTGAGGTTACAAAATCATAAAAGAATGTATGAATTACTTCAGATGGAAGATAGTGAGAGCATATATGATTTCTTCACCAGGGTTATGAAACTAGTGAATCAAATCAAGGTTTGTGGAGAGACATTAACAACAAGAGTTGTTGTTTCAAAGATCTTGAGATCTTTGGCTCCAAAGTTCAATCATATGGTAGTTTCCATAGAAGAGTCGAATGACACGTCAACTTTGTTAAAATAAGAGCTTCAAGGGACTCTTGAATCTCATGAACAAAGAATGGCTGAAAGAGCTGCGGGAAAATCGAAGAGTGATGTGGCTCTGCATGCTCAATCAGCAAAAGATAGGAAATGCAAAGGAAAGTGGTTCGACAACAAAGGTAGAGGTGGCTACAACAATTCTATTGGTGGAAGAAACCAGCACGAAGAAAATGTTTCAAATCAGAGAAGACTATACCAAGGTAACCAAAGAGGTGGTGTTGCATGTAACACCCGTAATTTAATTAATTATTTAGTTAAATTATTTTTGGAATATTTATGAAGATGTGTTATAATTGAATTGGATTTATTTTATTAAGTGGAGAAATAATATTAGAGATATAATATTATGTGGTGAAATAATATTAAAAGTGTAATATTATTTAATGTGGGCTTATCTTGAGAGAGTAGAAGTAATAAGGGGGTGTAGGTTTTGAGCCCAATAAGAAATAAGGAATAATAGAATAATAGGGTTATTTTATTATTTGTGAGAAGGAAGATAAGAAAGAAGCAGTAGAAAGAAATAAGGATTTGGAAGAGAACGTGAAGCTGCTGGAAAAAGTGGAAAACGGCAAGAACGAAGATTCAACCCGAAAATTGTAGAGCGACCTTCAATCCAAGGTAAGGGTGGGGTTCTGACTTTATAATTTGGTTCATGATGTTTGATATATGGGGTTAGAGGATTGTTGTTTTGTTCTTGAATTGGATGTATTATGAATGATGTATGATGAGGATTGATGAATTCCCGATGAATAATGATGTTATTACATTGTTTGATCGATGTGGTAATAGAAGATAATGTTAGGAGATGAAATATCATGTTTATATTAAGGTTTGTAGGACGGTAATATAATTTCCATAGTGAGAATACAGAAGGAAACGCAGAATTATGCAGGAATGGGTCAGTATGTGTCGACCTCAAGCTGGATGAGTCGATACATAGGCAATGATAGACTCAGGATGAGTCGACCGGTGAGGTGCATGTGTCGATACATGCTGTGATTTGAAGTCAGGATGAGTCGATCCATAGGGTTTGCGTCGACCCATGTTGTAAAGGAGAAGCAGGATGAGTCGATCCATAGGGTTTTGCGTCGACCCTTAATGACTGATCTTTGACAGATTCAGTTTTTAAAGTGCTGTAACTTGAGTTTTAGGATGTTGTTTGAGATATCGTTCAAAGCGTTGATTAACTAACGCGATGAACTTTATTCTAGGTGATTAAAATTATGGATAAGAAGTTTAATCCTAGTAACTAATTTAGGATTTAGAATTAATTCCCGTGATTGGTCGTTGTGCTGATTTTTGAACAGAATGATGAATGTGAGATGTTTAGAGACTGTTGTTAGAATTATGACAGTAGGATTAGTGACAGAGACGATGTAAAACTGCAGGTTAACAGTAGGGATTACTGTAGTACTAAAATACAACTGAGTTGTTTAGTTACTCGTGATGTTCCGTTTGATGATTATAATAGATGAATGATGTGTAATGAATGATTTTGATGATTTGAGATGTTTTGAGATGATTGAGATGTTGTTAATTTTGAAATGTTGTCATTTTGAGATGATAATTTAAGATGTTTTGAGATGATTTGAGATGTTGTTAACTTGAGTGTTATCATTACATTCATGGTTGTGTCGCATACATTGCATTTTTTAGATGGAGCTTATGCTCATTGAGATGGCCTGGATTGGAAAATTTTGAGATGAAGGCTATGCCTTGTTAATGCCTCTATTAATTGGAAAATTTTTGAGATGGGAGTTCTGCTCCAATGGTACCACAT